ACCGCCTATGTGCTGAGGTCTTTAGCTCTCTTTATTTGCAGTTCATTCTGTTCCCTCAACAACTGAACCTCAGCCTCTTGCATCTGATCAGAGAATAGAAAGGGAACACATAAGAGAAGGAATAGAATGGGAACACACATGAAAGGTTTGTGTGTGTGTGTGTGTGTGTGTGTGTGTGTGTGTGTGTGTGTGTGTGTGTGGAGAGAGGAAGGATAATAAAGCGAGTGACTAACTTTAGTTTGACAAGTAAGTTCGGCCTCCATTTCAATTCTTGTTGCTTCTGCCTTTAACTTAGCCACTACAGGGGGACAAGGAAGGAAACATGACATTATCAACATTCAAATGTGTGAATTTATACATGTACATAATGGGTCAAAAGGTCAAAACAGTTGGAATGTGGCATATGGACTGCAAAACCACAATCAGTGTGTAATTAATACTAATTAGGCTGTTTGTTGTACAGCTACATGGAAACTACAGGTTAATATTGACTCTCACTTACATTCAATAGCACTTTGTCCTTCAATGAGAAGTCTCTCAGCTTGAGCCTACAATAGACAAATGAAATAATAGAGAAATTATACTACCAAGTACCAACTATTACATACTGTATCATACAATCTCAACATTGCATACATGTACTTGTACATACAGTATAACCTATACCCTGTACATGTTCATACAGTATAACCTATACACTGTACATGTACATACAGTATAACCTATACCCTGTACATGTTCATACAGTATAACCTATACCCTGTACATGTACATACAGTATAACCTATACACTGTACATGTACATACAGTATAACCTATACACTGTACATGTACATACAGTATAACCTATACACTGTACATGTACATACAGTATAACCTATACACTGTACATGTACATACAGTATAACCTATACCCTGTACATGTACATACAGTATAACCTATACACTGTACATGTTCATACAGTATAACCTATACCCTGTACATGTACATACAGTATAACCTATACACTGTACATGTACATACAGTATAACCTATACACTGTACATGTACATACAGTATAACCTATACCCTGTACATGTTCATACAGTATAACCTATACCCTGTACATGTACATACAGTATAACCTATACACTGTACATGTACATACAGTATAACCTATACCCTGTACATGTACATACAGTATAACCTATACACTGTACATGTTCATACAGTATAACCTATACCCTGTACATGTACATACAGTATAACCTATACACTGTACATGTACATACAGTATAACCTATACACTGTACATGTACATACAGTATAACCTATACACTGTACATGTACATACAGTATAACCTATACACTGTACATGTTCATACAGTATAACCTATACCCTGTACATGTACATACAGTATAACCTATACCCTGTACATGTACATACAG